AGAGCATTTGATGTCAGTTGCGGTGTGCACAATAAGTATCAGGTGGATGGTGAATCAGAGGTTGTTGCCTTTGTTTCTTTAAGGCTGACGTGATGCCAGTGGAATGTGGTTTGTTAAGGTTGTGTTCAACTCTCTGTTTGCTGCCATTCCTATCAGTATTTGTTTTTGTTTTTTTCAAGAGAGCAAGAGTGTGTGTGACACAGACAGTGAGTGGATTTGAAATTTTATCGTTTAGTGGATGTGTTCTGATCTGCTCTCCTCCCTCCAGGTTTCTGTCGATTGACACCTCATCCACGCTCTCCGGGAACTTGGACCATCTATTTTGAAGGAGTCGATTGTGACCGTCACTTCTCAGCTGACACGTCAGAACTGGTAAGTTATTAAGCCATTTAGATAGATAGATAGATAGATAGATAGATCTTTTTGATGTCAGTTGCTAGTGTGTGTGTTCTGACAAGTTATCATTCTCTTAGGTTTCAGCCAACACTAGTTACACCACGGAGGGCAATATTTAACCATAGTGCCCAAGAACCGGCTGTAAATTATATCTTTCTCCTCACCCTGAACACACAAAGCCCTTAAATGCTCCTCCTCCCCTGTAATTAGTCTGTTTTACTGTTTCTCGTATAAGTGAATTTTTTTGTTACATAATGTCATAATCTTATTTTTTATTTATTTTTACACAATGTCAGTCAGCCCTACAGCAGACAAAGCTGGAGCTCGGAGCGCGTTTAAATACCACAGAGAAATCTGATGAATGCAGCTTGATCATGTGCCAAACCAACCCACCCACTCCCACATCCTTTTCTTACAGCCATCCCAGGACCAATGCTTACCGTAAACTCACATATTGTACCTTGTTTGCAGTTTCTGGTCGTACTGTGCATTATTTATAACACATTATTTTAAAGATAAAAAAATATGTTTATGATCAAGTGATCACTTGAAGCATTGTTCCTTGTTGACAGACATCAACTATAGGCTGGGGAAAAAAATGTTCACCAATAGCAAATGGGTATTTAGACACTATTTTAGATTACTGATGGAGCTGAGTTTCTAGTAGTCTATGCGTTCATTAATTAAGATAGCAATGCCAGAAAATCCTTTTCAAAAGGAACATGCTTTA